CTCGTTTTGCGCCCTCACTGTGACCGTACTGAGGGTCAAGACACAAAATACGACAAGTACACAAACTTCGTACACCATAACCCGAACCGAAATCTTAACGAACATACAAGTATTATACATCAAATTACGCCAAATTTATTGGAGAGTTCAAATTCAGAGGTATTGATTGGATATACGCGCGATTGACGTAGCTAGAGGTCAAATACTGTAAAGCGTACATCATCACTAGATGAATCCTTTGTAAAAACAGGCAAAATTGTTAGCTTCAACCCCAAAAACCCGAACTCAATTTTTTGAGATTTGAATTTATTTTCATGGTTATGTATTGCTTAAATGTGTATCTTTTGAGAATCGGAGGTATTATTTGCGCCAGAAAAAAGGAGCTATGTGAAAAGTAAGAAAATGTGCAAAAATCAGCCGCATTTTGTATGGGCGCAGTTGCGTGACACTCGACCTCGAAACGAGATACAAAGAAATGTTAAGGGCAAGTTTCATATGGAATATTACATGTTCGCTTGGAGATACGGATATTATCTTATCGTGTTGAAAATCTTTATCCGCGCATCCATGTAATGTCCTGTCTTTCTTTTTTAAATAGCTGGCCCGACTTCACGCTCTAAGAGCGTCAAGTTCCATCTTAAAAAAGACAGACCGGTTTAGCTCAGTTTAATGCCTGAATAGATACACATGATTATGCATGCATGGACAAATTCTTCTGACAGTCATTGTTGCTATGTAAAGTTAGGTTAAATTATGCAATGTTATGTCTAAAATGAACACACTAAATTCATTCAACAAATATTACTAAGTTACACTAAATAGTTTTGAAAACCATCAGCTATCCATCGAGTATGACTTCTTCGTCCTTGTGCATGATGTTGATTTCACGACGTAGAGCGTGACTTTCTTGGACTTTACTTTGTAACTGACATTTTTTCACAGTTTTTTCTTGCTTTTTGGATGTATGGTGTGTAAGATTGGGTATTTCACGTCATACCTTTCTTCATTGTAGTTTTATGGTGCACCCCAAGAATCAATCAATCAATTCAGCTCATTTGCGAAGGAACGATGATACATATATAGCAACTCCATTTTTTTCGAACACAATTGGATGGCGTGAGGTCAAGACACAATCGTAATATCGCTACCGTTAGTTTAAGTTCTATTCTAAACTGTAAAGCAATTCCGGAAATGTCAGTGAAATTTGAGCTCAATGGCTATGTTTGCTTTAAAAAATCTTTACTGATGTTCTCCCATATTTTCAAAATATTAGGTACCCGACAGCTGAAAAAAAAAATAATCCGATAGCGATGCTTTGATATATATTTCGACATTCACTGCACAATTTTTCACGTATTTTACCCTAATCCTATAAACCTTCGCATTCAATCTTTCTCCCTATACAAAGGTCATTTGTCATATTGGTACAATATAATTTTAACAGAATGTATTCTCTTGGTCTCCCTTTGCAATTTCCCATTCTAGGGCTAAACGTAGGGCCAGTAGCTATATTAATGAAATATTGACTGTATTATAGTGACGTAGCATGGAAAACCACTTACTGAGCGACCGTTACGTATCGTACCGTAACAGAACGTAAACCCACACAACTTTTGCGGAACTTTACGATTGGAGAAAGTGGATTATGATTGCGAAGGAAACTCAAGATATACACAAAATATCAGAGTCAGTGAATTAATGACTAAATTAATGTGAGTATAATCTGTCTTTCAAACATTTATCA